GACCATGAGTCCTAGTGCTGCCTTAGGCATGAAGCCAGCTGGGCAACCTTTCGCCAGTTGCTTTCTCTCAGCCCTAGGAAGAAGGCCGTGGCAAACTGCTTCTGAAAACCCTTGCCAAGAAAACTGTAGGGTGTAGTCCAGGCAGTCACCAGGAGTCATAAACTTGAAGACACACACACACACACACACAGAAGATTATGGACATATGTATATTTATTTTCTTAATTAGAAAAAGAATATTTTGAAATTTGAGCATTTATAATGAAAATGAAACTGCAGCGTTGCAACAGATTTCATAGTGGCCTCAGCCAAAATTGTCCTTAAGGACTCTGCTGTTCTGGATGGTACATCTCTTGGAATAGAATTCTGTAACTATTCTACAGCAACAGAAAACACCTATTTGCTTCCAGTGAGGTTCTTGTAATATTAAGGTTCTGCTATCACAGATCTGGTTTGTCCCTCACTTTTTGGTAATGGGGATAGGTGCAAACTTGTATGTGGTTTTTTGTCAGTAGAGCTTCAGATTAAATTAGAATTATGTTGAAGGACATAGCTATGTTTAAAATGTGTGCTCTGAATGGCATAATTTTTGTTAACCACAGTTTTGGTTGTTGTTTTTTTCCCAATCTTCAGGAAATTCCAGCAACAACAGGAAGCCAACTCAAGAGAGAAAGATAAACAACAATGGGTGAGGTTGGAAATGGTCACATTTTTTCTCTGTGGGTCTAAGTGTCTTTTTTAAAAAGAAATTTCTGAAGATAGAATTGCTTTCTTGCCTGTGAAGAGGACACAAGATAGCAAGGAATTCCTAAGCAAGTTCTGAGATCTTTCAGTGCTGTCATAAAGACGTAAATGCTTTTTATGCTGCTAATTTGTATTGTATTTAAAATGTGATAGGGAGAGTTGAAATTCTGGCCATCAGTTGGTTATTTTTCTTGATCTGTTGTATGACTTGAGTCAGTGGTCCATAGGAAAAGCTGTTCCTTAACCTTCTTCAACAAAGCCAAGATTCTTATTTCACTCACCTTGGTTCCATCACCTCTGCTTGACCTCACCATAAGTATAAGGGGTCATCTTTTGTTACAGAAGGAACAAGAAGAAGATCGCACCAAGAAAGGTTTCCCAAGGAGGAGTGAGTCTGTGGAGAAAGCTCAGGTACACGGGAGAAAATCCCTTGCCAGTCCAGCCTCATTCTTCACAGTGCCTTAGCATGGGGTGCAGTCTATATCACTTCTAACTTCTTCATATTATCTCTCAGTGCCTATTAGATCAAAGCAGGATAACTGCTGATTTGCAGAATAACAAATACAATTCAACAATCCCATTGCATTCTCAGTGCATGCAATGCACTGCATGCTTCATTATGAGCATTGCATGTTTAATATGGAAACTCTTGTAGCTGGCAGGTATGAAAAACCCAGTCAGAATTTAATCCACTTCACCTCTTCCTGCTTTGGCTGGGCTGAATAGTCATATAGATACATAAACCTTTCCATCCTTGTTTCTCTTTTGGTCTTGGTGCATCCTAAGGCAATCTTTATTTTCCAGTAACTAAGAAAGTACTGTACTGATCTTTCTGCTGATAAGAAAAACCTGTCTCTCCTAATGATTCTAAATACTGGTTGCAGTTGTTCAATACATAATTCCTTACCACGGTTTTCAGTATTCATTTTCTTCTGCTGTCTGCTTTTTCTTCAGTCTTGCATTTTCTTTTCTTAAGGATTTTGGCACTGGTTCTTCTGTAGCATTTTGGATCATGGCCACAAAAAAGTCACCCACGTTTCCTAGTCTATCCTCTTCCGTTGTCATATCTTGCATTGAGTTTCTGTCTGGTTCTGAAAATGGAGGCTAGATAATTTGCCATATTTTTCTGACTGAAGCCTTCGCCCCAGTCCTGTGTCTAAGACGTGACTAAAATCGTGGCTGCAGCTGAATTATTGTATTTCTCACTTCTTGCCATTGTAAATAACCCCACAAAAATGAGCAGCCCACAGACTCATTTCTACTTGCCTGCTTTTTGTTGATAAACGACCTGGAGATGGAGTTCTGATCCCTCTGCCAACATTTTTGGTTTCTTTGTGCAGGATGGGAAAGGAGCAGGTTTGCTTCCTCTAACTTCTGTAGAAAAATGCAGGAAGTGGTCAGGAAACCAGATTACTCCATCCCTTTTGGTATAGTGTGTGGCCTACAGAAAAACATCTAACGTCTATGATAAAAAAAGAGATTTCTGATTTGGACATACAGAACTGTTTACAATGAAACAGTTGTATACACTTAAGTATGTTGCTAAAAGCGTTTCTGTCCTTCCCAATCTTCCTTTGTATTCTCACTATCAGGAAAATCCGGAATGAGTTTAGTAAAGCTAATTCAGGCCTCCTCAACCAGCTGTCTTCCAGATTTTTGGGGGACTGCAATTACCAGGATTCCTGGCTATATGCAACACATGCTAGGCATTCTGGGAATTTATTTTATTTCAACTGCTTTTAAGCCACGTCCATTGCATGGTTGCCAGCCAACCCAATAAGTCTACGAGTGTCAGGTTCTGTTAGTATATGGCTCTCAAGCTGAATTTTCTTGAGGATTCTTGTCCACGCTGTTCTTTATTTACTGTGTCAGAAAGTGGATCTTTTCTTCTGATTGATGGTGGTAGTTCCTTGGCTTTTTCCTTTACCTTTTTGTGGAATTGTGATTTAGACTGTTAGAGTCATCCAGTTGCATGTGGGATTCTTGATAACTTGACTCTGTTCTCTTTCCTGTACTTCTATGGGTCTCCCATAGGAGCATGGACAATCTATTTGGGATTTAGTTTGAGCAGAATGGTTCCTTTTCTTCTTCACTTTGCACAGCTTGGGAATGCCTTCTCACTATCTCCATTCTGCATCTGTTGGTTTGTCAGGGTCTTTCTCCTTTTGACTAGCTATTTGTAACTGCTTGATCCTTCTGAACCTTTTCCATAGTGGAAGATCAGTGCTGTCCACAGAGACTTTTAACTCTCTGTATCAGATGTAGTGAAAACAATATGCAAAAGGATAGTGTATCATACACAAGGACTTCATCGGGCAAGCCTTGAGATCCCATTTATTCCATTTTTATAATGAATGAGAGATACTTTGTCCCAAAGTCTTCATATTTTTTGCAGTATCTCGAAAGGTATGTACCCTTATGCAAGCTTCATCTTGACCCATGGATGCTTGTTTTATCTTAGAGCAGGGTTTCTCAACCTTGGCAACTTTAAGAATTCTGGGAGTTGAAGTCCACACGTCTTAAAGTCGCCAAGGTTGAGAAACCCTGTCTTAGAGTAACTGAGGACCATGGCCTAGAATTTTAGCAAAAGAACATGGATAGTTATTACTTTCCTGTAATACTGCACATCAAGTAACTGCATATTACTATTTTTATCATCATCATCATCATCCCCAGTCAGTCCACTGCAAGATGAAGGCCTCTTAGCTGAATGTTATGGATTGTAATCTACCACACTAGTTCAGTATGGGTTGGTAGGTAGATATTTTTCAGCTTCCCAGTTTAGGACTGAGAGAGAGTGACTGCTCAAAAGTCACCCAGTTGCTTTTGTGGCTAAGGGAGGACTACAGCCTGGGTTTCCCCATTCCTAATCTAGCCCCTTAACAACTACACACACTGGCACACACACATACAACGAATAAATCTTTTTGATGGATGCCCGCATCCTGAGCTTTTCCTGCCAAATGAGTTATCGATCATCCCAAATCCTCTAACTGCAGCTCCCTTAATCCTCATTCAACATGGTCAGTGTCTGTGCTAACTAGGAACTGTGTGCTTTTTTTGATGTGTTGCCCAACACATCTGGCAGTGTTGGATTGAGGAAAGGATTTTGATGATTAGTAAGATACATTGGCAGTCAAAGGCAGCACTTTCCCCCTTGCATGCTAAGGCTGGGCAGTGGTGGTATATGTTGTTGCTAGAGTTCCCTCTTCCTTCCCATGCTTTTGATTTTTGTATTTCATCAGGATTCAGTTATCCTTCTGGTTTTTCAGGAAGCAGCATCACTAGTAGCTCAACGATCAGTGAATCCTCGTGAGATCTTCAAACAGAAGGAGAGGTCCATGTCTACAGAAGCAGCCACCGCCATCAGCTCCCAGCCAGGTATTCCATGGAGCAGTCTTAGACTAAGGAAGGCCCACAACAAGGGGAATCAATTACTTTCCCCAGGGATGGGAATCTCAGAACCTGAGCATGGCAACTGAGAACATTTTGTTTCTTCTCTGCCAAGCACATTGTGAACATTTGAAATCTTGTGCCATAATTTGGGTTTTAGAATTTGGTTCACATGGTCTAATGCAGTCCAAGAACTAATTTAATTTGACTAGTTCTGTGGCTCAAGTCACAAACACTATTGCACTTCTAAATAAGAATGGATAGAATCAGGCAGCTTGGTAGTAACTGAGTGGCTTAGCCAAGGTCTCCTGGTTGTATAAGAGGCACAGGTCTAACTGGTTTGTGTTCTGGACTGACCTCCTTTCCTAGGCAAGTTACGGAGTCCTTTTCTTCAGGAGAGAAGTCAGGTGGAGGGTCCCGTATCCCCTGTCCAACTTGCTACGCAAGATGTTCCTTCTCCTCCTGTTGTTCGTTCGTCTGGTCGCGACACACCTCCAGTTTTGCCTGTTCCTGAACTTGGTAAAAGCATTATATGAGAGCATGTGATTTCTGTTCCTTGATTACTTTTTTTTTTAATTGCAAGAGGTGCTTTTTTTTTTTTTTTAATAGCCAATGGTAGTTCTGACTCTTCTTCTCAATATCCCAGTTGGAAGATACACCTAGAGTTTGATTTACTTATTTGTTTTAGAAAAGTATAAGGCCGCCCGACCCTATAAGAATTCTGGGTGGCGTACAATAAAAAGCAGTCGTACAATACAATTAATGCAATTAAAATAATACAAGTAAAAAACAAACAAAAGAAAAACCCACTGCTGAATGCCAGACAAAAAGCAGCTAGTAAAAGACAATCATGGAGGACCCACCAGCCCCTCTAACCCAGGGCCTGGGGAATGAGCTACTTCTGAACACAGTCAGGTGGAGGCCAGACATACCTTCGGGAAAATGGTGTTCCAGAGCAGAGGCTATGGCAGGACAGAGTGTTCTCCTGAAAGTATCCTTGACCACCCATGATTTCCCCAGAGAGCTTAAAAATCTGCCATTTTGTGGGCAGGTTCATGCTTGAAAAATTTCATCCCCTCTCCAAAGAGCCTGCATGAGAAACAGGTTTTAGAAAAATGAAAGACTTTTATGCAAACTCTTGTGTGGGGCACAGATATAGACATCGATCATCTTTTTTTTTTCTGCTGTGTGAATACTTAAATTTCTCTTAGTGTAGTACAGCTTTTTCCCAATGTGAGAAAGCTGAATTTGACTACAAAAGCTGTTCCAGTCCAACTTTTGCCAGGCTATTTATCTTTATTACTGTTATTATACTGAAAAGGAATAATCTTTGCTTGGAACAGCTGCTGGTCCACTTGTATTCTTTATACCTCTTACACACACCTCCAGGCATTTCCTTTAATACAAGGATGCATGTTAGCTGGTCATGGGCGCATCCTCATGACCAGCCTCTCCCCATGTCCTGCTCTCGAAAGGCCTTTACCAAGCCTTTTTTCTTTTTAATCAGATCTGTGTCTCATTCTTCAGTAGCTAGATTTGCTAACATTGGAATAGACCTGAGCTGTTCTTTTCATCCTTATGCCAAAAAGAACCCTTCCCTGGTCTGTAGTTCCTATTTTGTTGCGGCGCAAAGGTGTAACACATGCAGCTTCATCCATCTATCTCAGTGATCAGCTCAGAGATATCGTTCTTTTCCTCAAAAGCTTGAGAAGTCTGTTGTTGCTCCTACAAGATCTCTGTGTTCAGTTTCTCTGTGTATCGTGTAATGGTGTGCGTGCATCCTGTTTCCTCTGTGTGGCCATTTGTGCAACCCTAGTTCTTGCTGTGTAGGAAAGCTTGCAGGGAGGGGAAACGAATGAGAGCCAATGATTTTGCATTGTGTGTAAGAAGGTTAATGTGTAATTAAAGTGAGGCATGAGAAGGCAAGTAAGCTGTTTGCTGTACTGAAAGAAGAGCAAGAGAGAGATGCTGGGCGGAGGCATCATGAAAAAAAATTGCTATTAAACCAAGGAAGGAATGAAACCCTGGAACATGAGTCTTGGCTTCTCAGCATCATTTCTTCACCAAACTGACGACTGAATTCATTTCACTCTCGAGAATCTGCTTCTGTTTTATAAAGTGGCATGGTACAGTCTCATTTGAAAGGTTAGACTTAAACTTATTGGTTGGATTCACATAATATGTAAACCATTGTGTGCTTTGATTTTGAGTTAGGGTGTTGTGTGAATCCAGCCATGAACTGTGGTTTGTAATGTACTGCTAGCTAGCTCAGTACTGCGTTCGCTGAGGCTTGTTTGATAAGTCTAAGCAAACAAATTGTGGTTTAACATAATATGTGAATGCAGCTAATGATACAAGTGGTTCCTCACCCCTACATTTACAGTAATATAGGTAGTCCCCAGTTTAAGAACAAGTTCCATTCCCAAGATCTGTCCTTAAGTCAAATTTGTATGTAAGCCAGAACAGTATTATCATATGATACTGGGAGATGGACAGCATACAAATTAAACACACACACACACACACATATATACTGGATAAGTAGTATTGTGTAATGAACTCAAACCATTGTGTATTTAACTTGAATTTTGCTACAGTAGGCTCCGTTCTTAACTATGGATCATCTGTAACCCGGATGTTCTTAACCTGGGGACTCCCTGTAGTTGTTTTATTTATGAAGCACTTTGAGATACATTTCTAAGATGATTCCCTTGCCATACGATCACAGTCCAGAGAAAATGTTGGCAGCTTTGTTTAGCTATTGCCTCTGGGTGGGAAGGAGAGGAAGAGTCAGAAAAAGGGGCGTGAGAAGAAGCAGGTGCAGCTACATGTCAATAGGCTGATCGGTTATAACGAATTGTGCTTCGCAAGGCCACTGAATACCCCACTCCAAATTTTCTTGGCTAAGAAACTGGTGTGATTTGGTAAATGGGAGAGACAGCATAATCATCATTATGTGTTTATCCCACCTTTTTAAAAATGTTGGATGGATGGATGGATGGATAACTCAAGGCAGCAAACATAATATCCTGCCTCCTATTTTCCCCACAACAACAACCCTGTGGATTGGGCTGAGAGAGAGGGACTGGCCCAAAGTCATCCAGCCAGCTTTCATGCCTAAGGCAGGCCTAGAATTCAGAGTTTCCTGGTTCCTAGGCCAGCACCTGAATCATTACACCAAACTGGCTCTCCAGTTAACCTTTTATGTCTAACATATGGGCATATGGCCATCACCTCACCCTCGGATGTAGCCCACCCGTTGTAGTAATTTCCTCTCACCAACAGCCTTTTACACAATGCTGAACCAGCATTTTTAACCAATGGTTTGTTGAATAACTGATAGTTGCTTGTCTCGGGTCAGGAAGAGCAATTCCCAAATGCTGTTAGTAACAGTAACCATGCTCAGCTATATTGGGGGGTATTTGCACATTGCACAAAACCAAAAGCAAGCCACATTATGGCAAAATGCAATGCACAGACTCAGTCACTAAGGGCAATATAGGATGTCCTTAGCCCTCCTCTGTAGAAATCATGATAATTCAGAAAAGTGCATTAGATAGGACGTGCCAAAGTAAACCTGATGGATTGAAATGAAATTGAAATTGAGAACGCTTCTTTCAGGTGATTCTGTCAAGCAGGAAAACCACAAGGCAGGGGCTGCAATCTATCAGCCCGAGGTGGAACATGAGGCGGTGTATGAGGAACCCCCAAGCCAGCGGGTGATCTATGATGAGCCCCCCGAGGTTAGTCTCTGCTAGCAAAGTGCAGATCAATACAAATTGGGTTATTCTTGACCGCATTAGAAAGATAGTATTGTTGTCTCCTTTGCAATTTTTATTTTTTCAAAATATATGTAAGAAAAAATTGTACTTGTTATTTGCAATTTCCCTAATTTCTCTTTCTTATGTAAATGTATTTGGGGAAACCTACAAGGACAATATACGTTTTTTTAAAAATATAATTACTCCTATTTTACATTCGTGCCTTTCTTGTCTGCTACTTTCCTATGACATTCATTGGGAAAATAATGAAATATATGTGTTTATGTTCTGTTCAAAAGTTCTAATGTGGATTTTTGCCTGGAAGAAGATGCAGATGAACTCCTGTGGCTCAGTGAAGTCTGATTTGTCAGATTTTACAAAAAAATTCATTCAAAAATCCATGACAAACTTCTCTTATGTCCTTCCTTTTAGAAATTAATCCATGTTTCTATAAACTGGGTTCATATGCTTACATCAGAATGCGCCTTTAGATTTGTTAGAGCAGCCTTCTCTGACTACATCACCTTCCAGATGTGTGACCGTCAATTCTCAACCTTGGTTATGCTGCTTGGGAATTCTGGGAGTTGAGGTCCACACATCTGAAGCAGGCCTAGGTTGGGAAAAGCCATTTTAGTGAATGAATTGTAGCTGAAAGATTGATAGCCAGCTGATTCAGCATATCATTTTTCACCCTGTTAACTCTTCTTTTTCGGGGAACAGCCTGAAGATGCTAACTATGATTATGCTGAGACCTACCAACAAAACCTCAGCCTGGAGGGAAAAGGTGTATGTGCCCGTGCTCTCTATGATTACCAAGCTGGTAAGTTTGCTGTGTTTTACTTTCAAAACTTCCCCATATTTGCTTTCTAGGAACAGCCTGGCCGGGGGGGTGGGGGGTTCCTCCTGCTGGGAGAAGCTACAGTTTCAAAAAGCATGTTCAGAGATTTGGAAGCCAGAAAGCCACATTTTAGAGGCTTGTTGCAAGGAAAAAAAGTTACAAACCTGCAGCTTAAATGCAGTTTGTGTAGTATACTTATTAAAGTAAAGAGGTGTCTTCTTCATACCCTTAGCAGAAGCAGTAAAAGCTTGAAGTTCTGCCTGTAGAGAGTTAAAATGGGCTCTAGGGATGCTTAAATATGTAGAGTATATGAGTAGAATCTGTGGTCTTAGGCACAAGCATTGGGTGCAGCTCTCAAAACCTGTTCAATTTTTGCTGCTGGATTGTAACTTTTAATGGGACAACAGAATGAATTTATTAAATGCAAAGGAAGTAGCCCCTATTTATGTTTCATTCACCTACATTTAGCCCTACTTTATTTTTGCCGTGGCCCTGCAGGCTTCTTCTGTTACCTGTTGGTTGAATGCAGCCCCAGCCCGCTGCTCAAAAGCCACATGCAACCCTCAGCCCAGAAAGAGGTTGCACAGCCCAGATTCAAAGGATGAAACAATAGCATAGGATATTGTGAGTCTCCAGAAAGGAAGCCTAATAATCCACAGTGGAAGAATGAGCAGCTCTAAGAAAATAAGAGGTTAAATGATTAAGTACTCTGAGATTGGCATAAGGCAACCCAGATTATTACAGTTGTGACTTAAAATAAATACATTTCAAACATACGCTCAGTTTAGAGTCCTACTGGGCCAGGTAGCTTTTTTAAAAAATAGCACTGAGGATGTGGTTTGTTTCCCACCTTTCAGCTGACGACACCGAGATCTCTTTTGACCCTGAGAACATTATCACAAACATCGAGATGATTGACGAGGGCTGGTGGCGAGGTTACGGCCCTGACGGCCACTTTGGGATGTTTCCAGCCAACTACGTGGAACTCATTGAATAAGGCATCCTTGCACTGGGGGACAAGTGCAAGTAATGTCTGAAAGACCAACTCTCCTCAAATCCAGTTCTTGGAGGCAAAGCTGTGTATGATTTTTATTATTTTTTTTAAAGAGAGAGATGCCATTGCTTGTGCCCCCATTCCTGGCAAAGCCTCTGTATCTGCCTGATGATTTGTTTTCCTTAACAGGCATTCTCAAGTGGAGATAGACATCAATTTGGGCAATGCACAGTGCTTGTTCAAAGAGGGAGAAAGATCATGTAGTGGGAAAAGCACTGGACAAAACCATCCCCTCTAGACACACACAGACTACGGTACTCTCTGGAATATCAGCCTGAACTCTTTTGAAGAAAGGGAAGCGATTGCCCCAGCAGCGTTTGCTCATGTCTGCGGATCTTTTCAATCCACCCGTTGCCGCTTTGCAAGGTAGCATCAGAGAAAAGAATCTTACGAAATGCCTCCATTAGCATTAACTTTGATCTAGGCTGCAGCCCACAACCCACTTATTCCAGAGCGCTGCTTTGGAGAAAATGGATTGTGCGGAACTGCTTCGGAGGTGCAGCCTACTTGGAATTGCTCCAAGGGAAAACTGATGGAAACGAGTGGAATTATCAATGCCTTCTGCAGGGTTCTTTTGTGCAGCTTCATTCCATTTCAGTGGAGCCATTCTGTAGGGGAAGACTCTGCCCTCCCACCCCTCCGCCGCTTGTATGTAAGCTGACGGGTGTTGGAAGCTCTTGGAGTCTTTGTGGAAACTCTCTGCTTGCAGCAAAGCAAAAGGGTCTCCTGATAGGTCTCGTGAGAGAGGAGAATTTGGGTATCGACTCTGTCCCCACAGATCATGAACCAGTTGCCCCCAAATCAGGGCTTAGCACTGAGCCAGTGGCAGGCGCACACAGCTTTAACTGTTACGCTTGTGTGTCCATGCGGCGAGATTTGGTTTGGTTGATATAGGAGAACTGTGGTTCAATTACCCTTTCTGGACTATAGGGGTGGGGGGATAGAAATACATTAAATCTGGCTTCAGTAAAATTTGAAGTAATTTCTTCCTCTGCCTTTTTTGTAGTTTTATTTAAAACAACTAGAATATAGAAAAACATCTGGCAGCAGAATACATGAGGGTGATACCAGTTGTAAGACTGGATGTTAAATAACTTTAGGCCCAGTCTTTCCTACCACTTCCCGTCACGGTATAGAGGTATAATGTTTAACCCCCAAAAGGCAGTTTTTACATTCATTTTGTTTCTCTGGCTCAAGATAGTTTTGATGGGGTTTTCAGGGGCTTTTTATAACTCTACCCAGACAGATCAAAGAATGTGTTGGAAGAGACCTTCACTGCATTTAAACCAATTCCCTGGTCAGTGTAGGTATTCACTTAACCATCCCCAACAGGTAGCCATCCCACCCTTCTTTTAAAGCCTGAAGTGAGGGCAAGGCCATGATTCTCACTTAACCATCTTATTTGTAGGAAATTCATCCTCATGTTCATCCTGAATCTCCTCTCCATAAATTTCAGCTCTGGGATTCTTGCCTTGCTCTTTATTTCAGCAGAGAACAGGTCTGCCCCTCTTACATGACAGCTTTCTAGAAATGTGTAGAAGGCTATCATCTCTTCCCCACCTTTTGTTTTGCAAACAGTACGTCCAGCTCCTCTAATAGTTCTGCCTCAGTTGCCAGACCTATTGCTTGTCATCCTAGGATCTCTCTGTTGAGCCTGCTTCAGCTTTTGCCTATCCCTTTTCAAGTCTGGTGCCCATTTTTGGGTACAGTATTTGGCTCTTAAGTGCAGTCACATTGGCACAGAGCTCAACAAAGATACCCAAAGAGGCCTTTACTATTTGCTTAAGACTAGTGTTGCAAAAGTAATGTTATTTGAACCCCATCCTTCATAGCCTTTATTTGTAAAGCCACAGTGATTATGGAAACGAGAATTTAATGCAGCTGCTTTATCCCTCCCAGCTACTATTCCTTTAATAGCATTTTCAAACAGGAGAGTTTTAAAGATAACAAAACAGTGGCTAGAAACTGAACTTTCCCTTTTCCATTATACCTTTACCTATATGTAACAAAACGTCTACCACTCTGTAGGTTGTTGTCTTGACTTTGGCAGGTCAAGAGCTGCCCTAAGTGCTAAGTGAGTCAAAAAGTCAGTGAAGCTAAGGCAAAACTGAGTTGGATTTAGTTTGCATTTCAGTGGGATCGAAATGATGCTAATTTGGTCCGATGTATTTAATATAGTTTTCTCCATGCATTTACTAATAACCTCACCTTCTGCCCCATTAAAATTAGCTTGATGCCAGGCTTAGGAGGAGCTTTGGAGGTGGGGAGCATATCAAGTTCTTCAGGGGTCACAGGCAGCTTTAGGACTCAGTTTGCGCACCTTTATCCTAAAGATGAAGATGTTTTTTAAAGACACAACTCACAATGCAAAACAAAAACTGAATGCTAAATCTGATGTTTCTCCTGATTCAGCAGCTTTGGGAATAACATTGGGATTTACTTTTTTCCTTTCTTTTTTTCTTTTTTTAAGAACAATACAGAACATTTCCCTTTGCAAATGGCCACCACTGACCAGCTGTGATTTGCAGGGATTCTTGTGAGATAATTTGTATTTGAATTGTCCATCATCACATAGAATCATTGCTTATTTCAATTGCTTTTCAAGTTCAAATTCTCCTTTTTCTAGCCTTCTGATATGTCTGAAGATTTATGGTGGGAGTAAAAGCTAGTAAATTGTGACAAAAGACAAGAATTAAAATGAAATAAGCCTATGAATTGGATTTTTTTTTTAGTGCTGGAAGATAATTTACTTGCCATAATTGTGAGGCAGAGGTTATGCGAATCTCAATGTTTTCAGGAAGGAGATTTGCGGAAGATGGCTCAAGATGCCAGAAAAAAGAAATGTAACAAACAATACGGTTAGAAAGAGTTTTTCTTCCTGTGTGGATCTTGTTGCCCAGCAGATGTTGCTGAACTGCTGTTTTCAGCAGCTCCATCCTCCATGGCCAATGCAGGCAGAAGAAAGTTGCTGAGAATTCTAGTTCATGCAAAACATTAGGAAACAGAAAATATTGGAATGTATTTACCTTTCACATTTCTTTTCCAAGTGGTAAACTTGCATTTTTCAAACAAGAACTTAAATGACTGTTTTGTAAAATGTATCTTTCGATACATAATCCATACTATCAAACTGGCATTCCCCTTGTTTTCATATCATGCATCTTCTAATGAAGTAATTTGTTAGGTCGTCATCAGCAAAATGGTTTGCTGTAAAGTAGATCTGCAAACCTGGTAACATGTATTATATTTTATCTTTCATTATTTATATCACTTTTATTTACTAATCACTCTTCAGGAAGACCCAGAATTAAAACAGCTGTCAAGAGAGCATCGTCATAAAGGGTAGCAAAAGATTATAATTGGTTAACGGTTGGGTGTTTGGGCATTCTTTGTTTTGTTTGAGTATAAGTTTGCCTTCCCCGCTACTTTAATGATGGAAAAATACAGCTCAGTAAGATCTTGAAGACTACAAATTCCCCACTCTTTGGTACGTCCTAAAAAGCAATGTTTGTAAGCAATATACTTATGCAATTGTTCAATCAATACCCATTTGACTTGCAGCCCCAATATAAATGGTATCGACATCCAGAGGCACCAGCACACGATTTGAAAAATTGCCTTTCAGTAAGATGGGATGAAATCCTCTCTCAAGTGTCGATTACTCCTCTCGTTTCTTTCAGCTCTTGAGACCTGAGATTGTTTGTGCTGTCTCTACATTACATTACATCTGGGACAGCTTCTGCTATAGGAAGAGGTTGGTTTTGCTGACTGCTCGACTGTGAGATTTGTCAAGCCTTTCATGGACCCCTTCGTTGGAAATGATGGATGTGTGGGAGGGGGTGGCAGTTATGTTGCCTAATTGAGTTAACTAGGTCAGGTAGACACTGGGGGGCAACAAGAGAGACAGATGGATAATCAAATCCCAGGGCAGACCTCAATTTCATTTCCATTTTTCTCCATCCTTCCCTGTTCCTCCCCTGAGACCCACTGCCACCAGCAAAGAAATCATCATTGTGGTGTTCTTTCCAGCACGGGGCATGCATCATGATTTCTCTTTGCTTCAAAAGGATGTTTAATGTTATTTGAAAAATGCAGGAAGAAGTAGTTCCAGATCCTCCCTCCATCTCTGCTTGTTCCAAGGTCCAGGTTTTTCCGATTGTGGTCCACGCAACCCTAGGGCTCCACAAGGATTTGATGGGGTTTCATGAGAGATCAAAGTTAACTCAAACGTGGACAGCTTTGTATCACTGGAGCTTTGCCTCTTGATCAGGGGATTTTTTTTTTTTTAAACTAACAGGTTCCTGGAAAAGTCTAAAAACCCCTGCCTAGGATATAGGCAGCTCAGGGGCGAGTAACCATTCACTCGCAGGTGTCATCCCCCACCTGTATGTTTTCTTTTGCCCTGTGGTATCTAGGTTGTATTTATACTTTTGTTACTATTTGGGGGGGGAGGTGCAGGGGCTGTCACTCAGTTTAAAAACAATGTATTGTAGTTAGTTTGCATGTATTTCAGTCCATCAGATTTCATTGACTAAACTAAGTATACTCATTTATGAGAAGACAGATTGGGGTGGTTGACCCCTATTTCTTCATCTATCTTCTAAAGATGTTCCCAACTCCATTCCGTCAGCTTTTGTCTTTCTGGGTAGGTGCACATATTTCTAAACAAGCCCTGAGTTGCAGCCATCCAACCATTTAATTGCCCAAGAATCCTCCTGAATCCAGGATGGACCCAAAAAACAGACGGGGTTCATGTGTTGGGCTAATGCTAAGCCATAAAGCAGTTTGTTTGGTTTGGCCTTGGTGTGTTGCAGAATCTGAGTGTGGCTTATTTGGTAACCAGTATTTCAATGAGTCATGGTGTGTGAAACAATCCCTATTTAGGGAAAACTGCAGCATTCCCAATTTTTGTTTTTAATTCAGGGTCTTTAAAAGCAAAAGCAGACGGTCAAGAGCACCACACGGCTCACGTGATAGATCAGTTTGTATAAGATCACATAGGACTGTTTACCCATCTTGTTCAGTATTGACCCTTCTGACTGGCAGAATCTTCCAAACTCTTACATCCTTATTTATCATTTAAATTTCTAGGACCACCCACATGCCAAGGATTGTGGGTGGCATATAGAGATGATTCACTTGCTATCCTTTTAACTGGAGATGTTGATCAAGCATAGCAATTTCTAATGGAAGAATCTGTCCTTGATCACTGAGTTTACATTCTCTCCCCCGCCAGCCAATAATGTAAAGCAGCACAGCCCCTGCCCTCCTCCTCGGTGCTGCTACTTAATGAGCTTCCACAAGAGTGAGCTGTGAAATCTTGTCCTGAGAGGCTTCCATATACCAGTTGGGTTCTACAACAATCCTCTTAAAAGGATGAAATGCCATAATCCTGCTGGGGCAGGATTTCTCAATTGCAGGGGCTCAACATCTGGGATGAGATTAGAGAAACACATAGCTCTGGGTTATTTTTAGAACTCTGGGCAAAAGGAGACACTTGCATTTAACCTTGCTGAGAAAAGCTTCAGCCTCTTTCTCCAGCTCTGCAAGAGGTTGGCTGCATCGATGGCTTTGCTCACCCAGCTGAGATGGCTTGATGGAAATCTAGACATCTGTCTATCTCAAGATACTGGTTGTATTCCCATTCCTTGCACACTAGAGCCTTTCCCATGTCAGTATCCAAACCACCTCCTGGACTTCAGTCTTTTCTTCCACCATATCCACAAACATGAGATTTTTCGATTCAAATCTGACCAAGAATGAACTCTTGGTTGAACAGTATCATCTCTGCTGTATTTTGTCAATATGGGGATTGTCAATTTGGCTTTTGATATACTTAAACTATCTGAACCTTGCTAATTTGAATGTAGGGGTCAGGAGCCTTAGTAAGTAGAGACATCCTGGAGGAATTAGAAGGAGCATCCTCACCAGACCACTGTGTGTTATTTTGTGAATGCTCTACTCACCACACAGCCATCTTGTGAGAACTTGATTCCCCAAATTCCAAAAGGTGGTGTGCTCTTGCCTTACCCCTTCCATCCCTGGACACTGCTCTGCACACCATAGGATCCCTTCCTCATCTAGCATGAAAAGCCATTCACAAGCTCTGCTGGGGGTGGGAGATTGTTGTTAGTAATTGGAATGATGAAGAACCCAGCTTGATTTGCAGTATCAAGAGGCTGAGTGATGCTAGAATTGTATGCAGAAGGCCATCTGTAGACACACATTCAAATTTGGGTACAAATGTCTCCCACTTCAGATCATTCCTGAAGCTCCAAGGAATGCTGCCTGGCTTTTCTTATCACCAGAAATCTGTTCCCTCAGTGCTGTGAGATTCAAGCATTTGGGAGGCTTTCCCAGAGGGATCAGATGTGGTTCGTCCTCTGCCTCCCTCTGACATTTGCTTTTGGGTTTTGTTAATGGGCACTGTTAGCACTGACACATGCTGCACCCACAGGATATTATGGGTGCAGTGGATGTGACTCATCTACCGCATATGTTCTGGGCATGCTGCCACTTCTGTGGCCATTCAAGACACCCTTCTACTAATTTATTTTCAGCAATGTATGGCCCATAATAATGAGAAGAGCTGTCCGGTTGCCAACTAGACTAGAACTTTCCTCTAATGACCAGTCTCTGTATGTTCTCATTGGATACCAGGACGCTGTTGAATGTTGAACTTCTCCACTGATACTGCTTTCTGTGATCTCTTTATTTTAAAAAACTGAGCAATCAGACTTCACAAGATTCAAGAGTGGGCATTAGCTGATATGGCAGAAGTGGCAAATTTTTGGTGAGGGTGTAGTGGCAAAAGGCCTGTTTCGGACTCCCTGCCGTTTATTTTTGTCTTGCTGCAACTTACATCCCTGGAACCAATACAAGGGGCAGACCGCAGTTGCTAAGATCATTCTTGCGCTCTAATTTTACTGATTTATTTTGTTGCCTTAAATTAATAGTATCCATCCCTCCAATCATTTGAAGTATTGAATCACCCTTTGGAAGGGGTCGCCTCCATGTGTGAGGTATGGGGCAGTTAATGCCCCCTCCCCAGGTTTTTACCGCAGGTCTGCAATTGATTTGCTTCAAAAGCCTTTTGAAATCAGACCAAGAGAGGAAGCAACAGTGTGTGCCTGTGAATATCCTGTTTTCCATTGTACGATCCTCTTTCCAGTGGTCTGCGGGCTTCCCGGCTTCCCACGCTTTCGTTAAATCTCAAGAAAAGACATCAGGAGTGAACACCTCCCACAGGCTTTTTTAGCAGAGGTGTTACTATCATCACGAAGGGGGAGTCTTGCTCTCAAGATGTTTGTGGAGAACATCTCCTGCTTCAGGAGAAATTTGGAAAAGTTCACCCAATTTCTCTGCCCACACATTTTGCGGAGAATTTTGGAAAGCTGGCTGGGCCCAAGTTCACTTAAGACAGCTTTGCCTGGCAAAGGAACGGGGATTCATTGCTAGAACAGAGTTTTTAATCCTTTCACACACCATCTAACCCTAGTTTTCTTCATTTGGCAGAGATTGAATTGTTTGTTTTATTGAACCTATTATGGACACCCACTCCAGAAGACTCTGGGCAGCTTTCAGTATCCAAATACACAACAGTTGGGCACCAGAATTCAGTCTAACTCAATAGAACATCTTCCACATTGTGCCCACAACTAGAGAATCTATCAGAAGCAAAAGGCAAGCTCCATTCCTCCACAATTTGCTTGCTTTGAGGGTGGCTTCCCTCCTTCACCCTCTCCGCCCACCCCACTGTTGAGATCTGAGGGAGAAATAAGAGCCTCATAGTCTGTGTAACCATGGACACCACCTCCAGTCTAGCTGGGCATAGCCGTCTCCCAACAGATTAATGGCCTCATTGTCAACCAGCATTGTTCTGCCCAGAGCTTACAGAGGCCCCAGCTGACCCCATCACCCAAAATAGCAGCTCTGGACTCATCGCTTCCCAAAATGTATGCACCCCAGTGAAGTCTCTCCAGGGCCAAATTGATTCTGCTTGGAGGTTAATGTGCATGGCCTGTATCTGAAAGGAACAAAAGGACAAGCAAGGTCCTTCATGATAAAGTCTGATTCTCAGGTAGCATGTTGAAAACAAGGAGCAATCCAACTATTATAGATAAGCAGACAGACGTTTGCTTAGTTTCCAGACCAAACAAAGGAAAAGGAGAATCAGTGAAGTGCAGATGATCTCTTGGTTGGGTATAAAGGATTGTAGATAGAAAATCCACCTGAGTTTAGAAGTGAAGATAGGTCCTCAAGTTCTCTGAGCTTGGTTGTTTTTTCTGC